AGCAATCAAAACCAACAAAAGAGCAATAATATGCAAGTGCTATATTAGTATATTATTATAGTGTTATATTTCAAGTTCACAAAGAAACGTACAGTATTTTGTCCAAGCAATAATAAAAGGACACATTTAATTTATAATTTGTCTTAAATCTCATTTTGTTTAAAAAAAAATCGTGAATCAAATCGAATCGTGAGTTGAGTGACTCGTTACATCCCAATTTACCCCCAACACTGCTTGCGCGGAGCAGACGGTCTACTCACTGTTTGTGTTCGGCGGCGGTGGGACGTCTCTCCTTTGGCTCTCGTTCGGAGGTCTGATGATCCGAGGCGGGACGTCTGGGACTCGATCCGTGTCTGACGGATCATATACAGGAGCGCTGGAGGAGCAGACAGAGGAAGATTCATCATTACTCAGATCTGAGGACAGTCTGCTGAGCAGCCGACCGAACTTCTTCATGGTGAGGATTCGACGCTAGCGGCAGACAGAGAGAGATCAGGTTCGTGTCGCTGCACGCCTCTGAGTTCAGAAGCAGCTGACGCAACACGTTCAATGAGAGCAGATAGCGATCGGCCAACACACCTGTACTGATCTTCACACGAGTCACACAGACAGAATCCTTCCATTAAAGTCACATAAAAATCATAATAGACTTGACTTTATGTTTTTGCTAGATTTTTTGTTCATTTAATAACTTTATGTTAAAACTTCCTGTATATTACATCATACTACAAATCCATGTTTGCATAATAACTATAGGATTAACAACAACACAGTGTAAGCTGCTCCAGGAAGTAATTATTAAATACAAGTTGTGCGATGATTAATTAGGGTATTAAACATTATTTTCTACTCACATCACTGGTCAAAATTTTGGAACACGAAATATGACGTTTAATATTTTTGAAAGAAGTCTCTTTTGCTCATCAAAGCTGCATTTATTTGATAAAAAATTGTGAAATATATTTAAAATGTAAAATATCTGTTTTCTATGTGAATATCTGTTAAACTGTAATTTATTTCTGAGATCAAAGCTGAATTTTCAGCATCATTACTCCAGTCTTCAGTGTCACATGATCTTCAGAAATCATTCTAATATGCTGATTTGCTGCTCAAGAAACATTTCTGATTATTATCAGTGTTGAAAACAGTTGTGCTGCACAATATTTTTGTGGAGACTGTGATACATTTTGTTTTTAAGGATTCACAGATGAACAGAAAGTTCAAAAGAACAGCGTTTATTTGAAATAGAAATTTTTACAAACTTTTGAATGGTAATGCATCACAAATTTAACAAAAATATGTGACACTGAAGACTGGAGTAATGATGCTGAAAATTCAGCTTTGATCACAGAAATAAAGTACAGTTTAACAGATATTCACACAGTTATTTTAAATTATAATATTTCACAATTTTACTGTATGTTTGATCAAATAAAGAAGAGACTTCTTTCAAAAAAATAAAATAATTCAGCTGCTAGTATATTTGTCTGATAAACTTGTTCTAAATCATAAACACAACAGACAGCAAGTCTTACTGCAGCAGTAAAAATAAATTCTGCAGCGTGTTCTCACACAATAAACCCTGAGTAAATGCGAATAAAAGGTGGACTTGGCCACGTTTCGAAAGCTGTCTGACATTCACCCTACATTTACAGAGAATACAGGAATTCACAGGTTTATTTCAGAATCAACAGCGTTTGTTGAACATTTATCGGACTGGAAACACATTTCCTGATGTGTGTTAAAGATCAGGCTCATGTGGACGGTCAAACAATGCTGCTTCCTGAGTCCAGCGGAACAACATCGGTTTTACAAAACAAAACACCTGCTAAAGACTGAATTATGAATGAAGACTTCACTAAGCGCTTCAGCTCTGTAACTTCAGAAATACTGTTGCACTCTCGCAAAAGAAAAGATATCAGGATGAACAAACTTCCTGTTTGTTGCTGCCGTGTGTTTTGAGTTTGAGCTCCGTCAAGTTAATTCTATATCATCTATTTTTTATCTTAAAATCAATTTTATACACCCACCTCCGGTCTTCGAGATCTCCACCCGGAACCGCTTCGCTCCCCTCCGCGAGACAGAACGCGACGCTGTGATCGTCGGAGACTCCATCGTCCGGCACGTCCGTGCTACGATAGCTGAAGGTAAAGTGCACACTCACTGTTTCCCTGATGCTTGTGTACTCGATGTTTCTGCACAGATACCCGCGATCCTGAAGAGCGACGAGAGCCCCGGAGCGGTCGTGCTTCACGCCGGGGTTAACGACACCAAGCTGCGGCAGACGGAGACACTGA